AACTTTGATCTGGAAATCTAAAAATAAAATAAAAGAATAAACAGCAGATTTAAATATAAAAAATTAGTCTAATTATGATAACTTATATATGTTTCTACAAAAAAAAAGTATAATAATATATTCGTCCTAAACTTAAGTACCCACAGAAATGTCGCATCTGAACAAATTAATTTCATAATCTATATTCCATGACATGAGATGGCGTCTTAGGAATAATTTGTTTTATTATTAAACTATAATACTTTTTTATTGATTAAATATCTTATCAACCGATGAAAAGTAATTCCTTGGTTTTTACTGACATTTCTTGAATTATTTGTGCTATATCTAATTACACACGACGGCATATTTTCTAAAGAGATTTTTTTAAATCAACACAACACGTGTGAACTGAACAAGCGCCTAGCGAGTGACCGATTAAAGTGCAGTGTATGCACCGCAGTTGAATCGAACAGAGTAGCTGAATGCAGTGTCGCCTCTAGTACGTAGTACATAATAGCTCAATGTCGATTAAGAATCAAAATCCAGAAGCATTGTCACCTGTGAGTGTGTGAGGTGTGAGGACTGTGATGGAATGGTCGTTTTCAGTAAAAAGGCTTCTCCGGTTTGTTACACTCCCAATGCGAAACACAGCAGCATTAAGCTACTACTTTACGCTGGTAATCACTGAGAGCGCGGATCTACCTCATTTGAGCCGACCCATTCGTGCTACAACCATAATATAGCTGCAGCGTGGCATAAAATTAGAGTTAAAATTTTAGGATATAAACGTACCGCCGCTAGGCATAGGCCTCCTCTCATTCCTGAGAGGGTTTGAAGGCAAGGAAATGTTGGCCGTGCTACCCCTGCTGCGTTTTGGCGAACTTCACATGTTTTCGAAATATTTTTTTTCTTATTACTCAGATATGCGGGTTTCCTCACGATGTTTTTATTAACCGCCGGACACGTTTACAATTAGTAATTTCGTTGGTTCCGGCAGGGATCGAACTCGGGTTGCTTGAGTACTGTGAAATTTGCAGGGAGAGCTTAGCCCCTGAGCTATCACGGCTCTAGTGTTAGGCTAGAAGTATTGCTGCCATAATATAGACTAGTGCTGCAAAATGCCACCTAGTATCTATTGACTCAAGGCAGAGTTGCGTTCAGAATCTTATTGGTCACTTCTATCTGGTCAAATCCATTGCGGGCATTATGTGCAGAAATAGCATAACGTATTGCTCCCTCTTTTGGTCAGCTCTTTTATTGCCGACATACCTCCCATTCGAACCAAATGGCTTTGTTTGTCGTTTGTAATACTTACAGTAAAACACATCTTTCCATTCGATTAAGATGTGAGTCCGATTAAGGCTTTTGCTAGCCTATGTTATTATGATTTATTGGTAGGGGATATTCTTACACTACCACTATACGATTAATCGTCAACACACGTGAACCCGAATCGTGCGAGAGTGAGCGATAATGCAAATTAGATATTAATAAATTGCTTGATCTAATTTCTAAGGAATTTCCTCCCATATCTCGCGTTATTAAATCCTTTTCATCATGCGAACGTCGCCGTGACGTTGTCCTCAGTGAAAGAGGCGACGCTGTTGAATATTTATGTATACGTAGCTGTGTGAAAATAAGGTTGTCTGGAGATTTTATTAGATTTAACAAAATAAGATGAAATTAATTTAAAAATGATTGTCAATTTGCTAAAAGCAAAGTAAACTTGAGATAGTTTGCATATGATTATTATTCTTCATCTTATGTTAAATGTTAATGTTTGGCTTGTACGATGTGCAGGTATATGACACATCTTAGCGTTTCTTGAGTTGCAGTCCTATTTGGACCATATCTCATAAAATAAGTTTTTTTTAGCTAGCTATTCGCTTTTTTATATTAATTTTGTACCTTGCTTGCATTGTTTTAACGGTTTATTTTTCATTGTTAGTGAATAATTCAGTCTATTTATAAGATTATTTATACATAATGTTTACTTTGAGTATTAAGAGCTAATTTGTTAACAAATGGCGAAATTAATATCTTTCTTTCTTTCTTTCAAATTGTTACCTCACGCCTCGGAATTGTCATTTATATTATTTTCAGGTCGCTGCATACATTACGGAATCAGCACGTGCACGGGACGGAGACGGAACGTGGTTGTATGTCAACGTGTCAACTCTAAATATAAAAAGATTGTAATATCGCACTAATAATATTATATTTTGTCGGGTTTTGCTCTGGCCTATTGGTATTCATTTTGAAAACGTAGTTAGTAAATTTAAAAATGACGTATTAAAAGCGAAATTTTAGTTTTATCGTGAGGTCAATGAGATTTTTTTCAGTTAAATTAATTTAATTTCAGTATACATTATTGATTAATTTCATGTCATTAGGTACTAACCGGAATAACAACCAAGCTGGTCGTAAAGACATTATACATACTGCATACACAAACTAATATTTGATTATGAGTCATAACGCAGTTGCGTTGACACCCGTGAGAAATAAGATCGAGTGTGTCGTCAATCATTTCCAGTAAAAAGAATTAGCGGTTTTCGTCACTTACTATTTGAAAAACATCAGAATTATGTCGCAAGCAGCGTGGCTGTGCCACGTATAAAATATGCATTCACTAGGTGGTAGGACTTCCGTTTCTATGAGGGGTCTGTCCGGTTTGTGTTACCTTCTTACTTATTCCTGGCGCTAAACAACAGTGCGTGCGCTGCTGTGTTCTGGTCTCAAGGGTATAATTACTGGCATTACATCTTAGTCTTTAAAAGTGATAACACATCTTTATTGTTTTAAGTAGCCTGTAATCAGTGCTCACCATCAAGATAACTGTAATGTTTTTTGACAGTTCATTTATATAAAAATAAATATTTGACAAAATGTCCGATTAGCTGAGTCCAACTTTAATCAAGACAGAATAGCTAATTTAGTCGACCGGTCTAAAGCCAAAATTTGGCTCCTAGGCTGTGCATGCTGTCTCGGTATGATAATTAGTGTGACGAAATATCAGCAACAGAACTAGAGTTTTTATCTAGTACAATTAGGTAAAGTAGGAATAGGTCGGGTGTTGCATTGCAAACCACCGTTATGAGGTTCCGTGTAGGTAGGTAGAGGTAGTGTAATCATACCTACTACCCTATATCGTCCTCTGGGGTTTTCATAAAGGTGACAGTGGGAAGTAAAGCAGGAGATGAGCAGCAGCGTCTTCTTAATAAAAACCAAAAAATTTAAAAAAAACTGCGGTTACCAACTCGCCTACGTAATATGTCAAATATTCCCCCTATGAGACAATTTATGGTGGAGGCCTATGTCCAGCAGTGGTCTTTAATAGGCTGTAACGGTAGCGGTATAGAAGTTCTAAAGATCGACTGAGTAGAATTGAACAAAGTCCCGAACTGGCAAGTACAGTGTAGCGCGATCGCTACTAGATGGAGTGACGAACGGCCGTAGAGGTTTTTTTTATGATGATATTATATCGTAGCGTGTTTTACGTGCTACGCTTTTTTGTACTCGTATTCTACGCCGTAGGTCTGAGTATATAAAATCTTTAAAAAATATTGACATAGAACAAAAAATTGTTACAAGAATACGAGCCGTTGTCCTTTTATCTCGTTATTTCTTTTGTCTGGAGAGGCAGAGGTAATGGTGCTGCAAATTATATCATTTTACTTTTGATTTATCACGCTCTTAAAAAATTTATTATTACTTTTCTGCCATCTACCGGTACGGCTCCACATTAATGCTACGCAACTTGTTTCCGGTGTGCTAGAGGCGTCACTGTTTTATTCTAACCGAGTATAATAATTATACAACTTTATTATAAAATAAAGTGACATATTTATTCTCGATTAAGAATCAAAATACAGAGTCACCTTTTGCAATCTTTTTCTAACCTATAATATTTAGCTTAACTTTGAACGTTAGACAGAAATCATTGTCTAAATGAATTATAGTTTAAAAACACGCTTTAATAGTAATCGAACTAAAAAGTAGAAAATAATTTTTAAGAAAAATTCAAATAAATTGAAAAAGAGTGGGATGTTTGATATCAAATGTGAGAATCATTTTGTTAGTTACTGTATGCAATATTAGAATTATTATAATAATATTATTAAGCAGCCCACGCTATTTCAATTTATTTGAATTTTTGTTAAAAATTATTTTCTACTTTTTAGTTCGATTACTATGAAGGCGTGTTTTTTTTTAGTATTTTTAAACTATAATTTATTTTCTGAAATTTTAGCTTCCATATTCTACTACTAAGAACGTTTTTGATCGTCTATCGATAAAGGAGAATGGCATTTTCATCGGTGTTCTGCGAGTGATACACGCTTAACCTGCTTACTAATCTAAATATATTTTTTTATCCTGATGATCCTAGTCATGACATTAATATAAAGTTATGAGATTATTGTATTGTCATCGGCCCTTGACCCCTGTACAAATTTTCAAATTAATCAGCCTCCTAGAGGTAGGTAAAAATGAAGTTAAAAGATTCCGTTACATACGTACATACAGGTCCAGCTAACAAAAGTTTGTTACCACGGGTAAACTGCCTCTTTAATTTCCATATTCTACATTGTTATAAACATTATTACTGCATCGTCGCTTTGTATTTTATATACCATTGTCCTTTCAAAAATCATTTTTCACAAACAGGCAACAAAACATCTATAACGTTCACAAAACACCAACGTTTAATATTGGTCTAATGTCTAAAACTTCCAAGCAAGCAGTCGTTGAAAATAAAGCCGAGCGAACTGTTTGTCCCGCGGTTAATCCCCGCGCGTCCCACTATTGCTACAATTTAAACTTGATAACAGTCTACTATAAAAGTTGATAAAAGTCGCGAAGTCTTCGAAGCGAAGTCTTCGAAGTCGGCGAAGTTGAGAAGGGCTAGCAAGGGCGAGTCCTTGTTAGCCCGTCTCAACACGACTTCGCGACTTTTGCTTCAACAGTTCCAAAGTTGCAAACGTTGCGAACTCCGTGTTGTTCGTAATCCGACATGATTAAATCCATCCAGTGACGTCACGATAATTAGCATGCATGTGAGTATACCACGAGTTTATCCTCAACTTTTGTTTTCCATGGAAAATAGTAACTTCTGTAAGGTGTAAGTCTAACAAATTAATTGGTAAGAATGGTAATGGTCAATAATATGAGCATATGCGACGTGGTTGCTTTTTTGATATCAAAGCCAGGTAATTTTGATCAGCGTATAAATACTGACTGCGCGCGCTCTGACATAAATTAAATTAAAACTAAAAAATTAAAAATTGTTTATTGCGTTTCAAAAGGTAGTAACAAACAAGTGGCAAGAGCCCCTGCACTGGGTTGGTAAAACCTGTGTTACGGGGTACCCCGCTCTTCCAACAGATAAATTTTAACAATTTGAAACATAGGATATTACATATTATATTAGTGCTTTAACAATCCTTAAGACATGAATTGATGACATTTTTGATACTTAAGAAAGAGTGAAAGTGTGTGTGTGTGTGTGTGTGTGTGTGTGTGTGTGTGTGTGTGTGTGTGTGTGTGTGTGTGTGTGTGTGTGTGTGCGTGCGAATAAGCAGTTCTGTTTCTTCATAGTTGAGGCTAAGCAGAGTAGTTGTTAGCAAATGTTTTTAATTTAGCACAAGTTAGGGGATACATATTAAGCCTACTATTTAATTTATTATATAGATGTTTTGATTGATAGGCAAATTTTTTTTCTTAAATTTGGTTTTACAATATGGAATATTGAAAACAGATAAAATTCTACGTTTTAGTGTCTGAGGGGCAGTGTATGGTAAAGTGCTGTGGGTTCGAATGGCACTCTTTAAAATGTACATTTGACGGGTTGTTAAGATTTTGTTAGAATTGTGTAGTTCATGAGTTGGGAAACGGATTGGTTTAAAGAACATCACTTTCAGTAATGCTCTCTGAGCCCTTTCAAGAGTTATTAAATAGGACTTAGCTGCTCCACCCCAAGCTGTAATGCAGTAGCTTAAGACAGATTGGGCTAGTGCTTTATACGTACATATAAGGATTTTATTATCTGCGACATGTCTGAGCATTCTAAAAACCCACATAAGCTTTCTTACCTTGTCAATGGTACACTCAATTTGTTTGTTCCGTATAAGATGCTGGTCAATAGTGATACCTAGATATTTAATAGTAGACGATCTAGCAATATCAACACATTGACAATTTTTCGCCTGGTGTTGGGAGCAGCTATGAATTTTGAGAGCAAAGTCCGAGTGTGGTAAGGTAGATTTTCGTATCGTAAAAGGAACAAATTGGGTTTTTGATACATTAAGTGTTAATAGTTAATATCTTAAGTAATTTGATATATGTCGTAATCCTGATCTCAGTATGTCGTAATTCTAAGAGAATCCCAACTCTTTTCACTGAAAATCAGCGCGGTTCCGCATAGGTAAATATATCGCAATTGGGAAGTTTGAGACTACAGAGGTCATTCACATATATCAAAAACAATGTCGGTCCGAGTACACTGCCTTGTGGAACACCGTAAGTAATTGGAGATGACTGGCTGATAATGTCACCAGGTTTTAGATGCTGTAGGCGATTCGTTAGGTAGTCTGTGAATAGCTTATGGGGTGTCCCTCTTATGCCGATGTGATAAAGCTTATGTAATAATATTGGAATTGAAACAGAGTCGAACGCCTTTGCAAGATCAATGAAGACGCCGACACATTTATAGCCTGCATCTAGGTGCTTACAGATAGTGTCGGAAAGTGCCAGAACTGCGTCTTCAGTGGAGACGCCATTTCTGAAGCCAAATTGATTATTTGATAGCGAGCTGTTTCTGTAAAGGAATTCGTTAATGCGGTTGTAAATGAGCTTTTCCAAAATTTTTGCTAGAACTGGAAGTACAGAGATAGGCCTCTAATTTTCAATTTCATCTTTATTTCCACTTTTATAGATGGGCGTAACAATAGCTTTTTTGAAAACAGAGAGGAAACAGCCTTTGTAGAAACAGAGGTTATACACATGACAAATGACGGGGATGAGATAATTTTTGGCCATTTTAATAAAAGTAGTAGGAATGTTATCCCACCTGGGGGCGGAGTCGTTAGATAAGTTACAGATGATTGTATTAATTTCCGCTGTATCTGTTGCTAAAAGAACTAAAGAATTGCATGAAGAGGGACATTTAATATTATTTATGCCACGAATAGAATTATTAGACATAGGGGACGATAATAAGTTTTCAGCCAGACGTTTACCTAAGTTAGAGAAGTAATTATTAGCACAATTTGCAGCTTCCATCGATGAGGATTTAAGTGAGAGTAGGTTATCTTATCCTCCTATCCTCCATCCTTATATATATATATATATATATATATATGGTATATATAGTCATTTTTATTATTGTTTTATAGTTTTCCACAGTAATTTAGGATTTTTATTAGCCCTCGTTAAATTGTTTCTTTCGTGCATTATTTTAAGTTTTCGTACAAGTTTACTACAATAATTTCTATAACGTGTATAGGTTACTTTCAAGATTTCATTATACGGATACTTTTTTTAGTTTTAGATGAAGTTTGTCGCGATTGCGAAGGCAACGTAAAACTCCAGAGGTTATCCAGGGCTTGATATGTATCTTTCTTGAAGGGACACTTTTTATAGTTTGGTTGTTTTAATCGCAGTGGAGATTTTATTAACCAAAACCTGGGCAGCTTCAGAAGGGTCTGTTATTGTTAATATATCAGGTAAGTACGTCTTAATGTCATTCAAAGTGGCATCAAAATTGATTAAAATTTTGGTTTTTAGTGCCAGATTGCGTCGCAGAGGTTCAAACATCACATCAAGAATGACTGTACAGTGGTCAGTGGTAGGGTTAGTAAGAACAAGTGATTTAGCAGGGTGAGACGTTTTCAGCATCATGTGATCATAGCTCATTTTATCACGGCATATAAATGCACTTTCTTCAAACTTATAATGTTTATAATATAACTTATTTATAGCATAACTTCTTTTTTTTCTTCCACGGTACCGGTACATATGGAGTCCTTCCTCATTTCTGGCGTTAATTATTAAGATAGCCAGTATATTTATAGGCCGTAAGAAATTTCATCTTAGTTCTCAGAGGTGAAAACGCATATGTGGCCTATATACCTGTACCTTCTTAATATAAAGTGTATTGTATGTGCTAATGGACTGAAGGAACCATTCTACATCAGGTGGACTGTTAGCTCGTTTGTCTCTTCAGTCAAAACAAAGTTTATGTGCCGCGAGGTGGGAACGTTAATCTACGCACAACGGACCCACAAAACTTTACATCTTGTAATGCAAAATATAGCCTAATCTATGAATAAATATAAACTAATATTTGTTTTGATTTACTCGTACATAAAATGTGTTAGAACAAGTAGGTTATGTGTAATGACGGTCGACGTGTCGAGGCGACATTCTTCTCACTGTTGTTAAGACACGTTTTGCCTAACCACGGTGTTGTGAGTCTATAAATAAATATAACTTCTACCTCAGGTCTCATAGAGCAGAAGTGTTCATTTTAGTTTTAATTGAAATTAAATTTAATTGAAAAAAAAATATTGAAAAATATCCTCAGAGATATTTTTCAATATTTTTTTGTATTATAAAAAGGTATATATTAGGAAAATTAAAGTTTACTAGCTTCAAATATTTTATTGGTCCATGTCATTACTTCTTAATATATAATTACGCAATTATGCACCGACTAAAGTTCTAAACGTAGGAAAATGCAGGAGTGTACATTGTACAAGCTATGTCGTGAATGTGGTCTCTCTTACATAGGTCAAACAAAAATACCTATAAAAATCCACGTGAAAGAACATATAGCTGACGTGAAGCACCGATGCTCCGGGAGGTCTGCAGTCTATGAACATGTTCAAGATCATCCCCACCATTACATCAGATTTGATAAACCACAAATCCTCGCAAAAGAACACTGATTCCTACCAAGGATGATACGCGAGGCTATTGAAATCAATAAACACCCTAATTTCAATAGAGAAGATGGATGGGTGCTGCGGTCTGCTTGGGATCCCATAATTAACAAAATAAAATCCAAACCCAAGCATACCACTGCAAGACTTCGATACTGTAATCTCGTTCTGCGTAGATCGGATTGAAAATTAAAGTTTAAAAACTGAAGGTAGCCTGGCTAATTATGACATTGGGAAGTCAAACATCTGAGTCCTGTGATTATGGGTGTTGGGTGGAAAGCACCCGAAACGTCGAGAATTAAAAATAAGGTAAAATAGTTAATAAAACGCGATAAAATCCGTCAATATAGTTTTATTCAATATATTTATTCCTGTTTATTATATTAAGTTATTTAAGCCCCTTGCCACTAATTTTTCACAACGTCGTAGGTTGACTGGCAGCTAATTCTAATAGGGATTAAGTCCTTCCTTCGTAGTATTTATAATAATTACAATAATTAATATAATAATAATAATTGTTATTCAATTTTTAAACAAATGTTTACATAGAGGAACAAATATGATTACAATTAAAGAAAGTAATAATACGTCTTATAAAAATAACATGCAATGATAAAAATTAAAACTACGTGTAGCATAATTATGTAGAATCTACTAAAGAAAAATTGAAAACTCAAGTTTATAATATTAGTTTTCATTATTTAGGGATAGAACATATACATATATGCATAAACACTCACGCCTGTCACACAGAGGGATAGGCAGAGACTACAGACTTCCATTTGGCACGATCCTGACACACCTCTCTCGCCTCCTCCACATCCATGTACCTACGCATACATGTTCGTCGGTTAAGGGTACTCCTAATTTGTCCCATTTTAGGATGTCCCTTTCCGACTCCGCGGTTTACTTCTGCAACATAAATTTGCTTTTTTTCACTCTTTCCTCATTCTTTCTTTCCACATGAGCAAACCTAATGGTTAGAACAATTAAGTTTAATGTAAAATTAATGTTTAATATAATATGAAAATCTTAAAATTAACTAGATTATGACGCTAAGTGTAGAGCTCGAATTTATTATGTTTCACTGTGTAACCATGTAACCCTAAAAAAAACACTTCTCAATATCGAACTTATTCCATCACTGTTTCAAGAAATTTAAATTTAGTAAGTGCAGTTACTATCTAAAGCGAAGACAGAATTCAGTCATTCAGTCAAGAGCATCCAGACGTTATGGAAAAGTAAAGCGGTTAAGAACAATGAATATGAATGAAATTTTTCTGGCAGAAAGAGAGCATAAATAATTTATAATTACATCCATTCTCGGCGTTGCGTTAAAACTAGAGGTACCTTTAAAGTCAAGCTTTAAGAACCTTTCAACAGTTGTCATTAAACTTTTTAATTGTCTGTCTCCTTTAGCGGTGGGTGACCCGGGCCGTCACCACACTTACTTTTAATTCCTAAGGTTTCGATTTCGTATGCTCTATTATCACTTTTACTCCTGTGTGCTCCATTTCCACTATGACTGTGATCTATCTAAATGCGTTTGCTGGTTATGGGGTTACCGGCTCAAATCCTAGCAATAAATTCCCACTAGCAGCCAGGAGTCAGGAAGCTGGCGATATTTAACTCCTTAGCCTCGGAAAGCACGAAAAGTATGTCCCGCGCCTGATCTCTTTCCGGTCGTGTCGGTTACCGTCCCGTCACTTGCGCACTATAATCCTATCCTGCACATATGGCTGGTCTCCGTAGAGACTGGCAGTTGTGACCGTAATTGAGTCTGAAGGACATTGTTATTATTATTACTCCTACAAAAAGAGTTCAGAGTACAAAGAATATACAGACTACTCATTGGTTATTGCATTTATTTGCAACTAGCAGTGTTGAATGTGGTTACGACCCTGCAGTTTTTACCAGCAGTTCTTGTGCTTACCTTGGCGGGGCGTGCGACGGCGCGTGCTGTGAGGCGGGCGCGTGCGCGTGTGTGCGCGGGCGCGGGCGAGCAGCACCGCCGCGCTGGCTCGTCTGTGACACACGTTGTTTCATTTATTAGGTAATTTATTCATTTATTTAAAAAAAAACAACAAGAAAATAAAAATAATACTTGTTTATATCAGAATTCATATTCATATGTGTTATTAACCAAATATTAAAACCTATAAACTACGGTAAGTAATGTTTTATTCAGTGGCAGAACTGCCTCCATTCAGTATTTATATGTATATTGTCTTAGCTATTTACAACATTTTCCAGGCGTAACCATAAACTTAATACTTTTCAAAACGGTATAGCCACACTGCAGTATGGCTGTAGCACAAGTAGGTCTGCTCGACCGGAGAAGACCACGCTCGCACAGATTACCTACGTAAAGTAGTAGCAAAATGATGATATGTTTCATATAGTGAGGGGAAGCACTGCTATTCAGTGGCAGGTAAGAGGGTGGTACCTACCTAGATGGACTCTTAGGTAGAAAAGTGTTCCTCCCACATATGAACAGCTTTTTTATTTAAGTTGGTTACATGCCTTCATGTGCTGCCGAAGTTAGTTAACATCAAGTGGAACTTATGTTAGTGTGTCATTATAATTTTATAAAAAAGTACCTCTTGGTGGTGGCTCTGGGTCTGGGGTGAGCGCACGACGCGGCAGCGCCAGTAGCTGGCGGTACAGCTCCAGCTCGTGGTAGGGCTCTGGCGAGGCGGGCGGGCCAGCGCGCGACTCGCCCACTTCCGCTGTCAGCCCGTTCAGCACTAGCCGCGTGCGCATCGCATCGCACCGCGACCATCACCGCTCACCGCATACTGCTCACCGGCAATTGCTCGCCGGACACTACTCACTGCTCACCGCTCACCACACAACTTGGTTCATTATAATGTTCAACGTACGATACGATGATACAGAAAAGTTTCTAATTGTTTTAAGTGTATATGTGATAATATATTTTCATGAAATTAACCCTTACTAGTTGCTATGTTTTTTATATTATATATAGAAACAGAAAATATTTGTTAGATATATATATATATATATATATATATATATATATATATATATATTTATATATATTACATCTGGGGATACAGGTTCTAGTTCAGGTAAGTAAAGTATAGTAAGTGTTTTACAGCACCCATGTTTACGGAAGAGACATTGTTGGAATCAAATTTAAAGTTAATAGAAATAAATTCCTAAACATCCACCAAACAAGTTTTATCTGTAGGGCGACCAACTTTATCAACCGCTACTTTTTCATTAATTATTTTGAGTTAGATTCCAGAGTTGATAATTAAATTGTACAATTAGCAGTTGTCGTCTCATATTTACACATTTATAAGTTCTATTACCATTTCGCAATTGTTTTTCGTTATTGATGCCGTTATTAACGTAATGAAACGGAACGGCGCACCGCGAAGAATTTAAAACGAATGTGGTACATTAGACTTTTTGCGAATCTATTTTATTACACTGGGGGATTACAGTGGCTGTTGTAAGGCAATTAAATAGTGAGTAAAATATCGTAAAAATAAATTACTAATTTACTAATTGTATTAGTGGTGTTATCGACATAGCCCAACGGATTAGTAAGCTGAAGTGATAATGGGCCGTCCACATAACTCGAAGAATTGAAAACCGATGGGGAAGAAAATTTCTCAAGTGGCAGCCTCGTACCGGACGGCGAAGTGTAGGACGGCCGCGAACTAGATGGAGGATCTCTTGGTAAGACATGCAGAAAGTCGATGGGTGCAGGTGGCTTAGGACCGTGCTTTGTGGCATTTCTTGGGGTAGGCCTATGTTCTGCAGTGCACTTGTGAAAGGCTGTATTGATAAATGATGAGTAGCAGTGTATAAACACCAATAAATATAAGCTGAATAATATTTACAAAAAATTATAACATTTTATTTCACTCATTATTTGATATAATGGAATTTGTTACCTTCATGTTTACGAACTATGATATCAATCGATATTATAGTGTATTAAGCCTGACTATTATTCATAGAAATTGATAAATTTTTAGCAATTTCAAATTGTCTCATTGTGTTTGTGGTTATTTCGTTTCTGCTAGTTGTAATTCTATATTAGATGAATGATGAATCGAATTAAATTTGTCTTAATTGTGGAATTGGCATTTTTACCTTTATAGTAGAAATTTAACGCAGTCGGGTTTTGAATTACTTACTAATTACTGTTTTAACCATAAGCTTGTTATGTCATATAAAATGTATTACAGGCTTTTTTACATTAAAATGTATCAAAATTATAGGTGTTTCATGTTTGACGGCGTTATCCTATTACTTCTAAAACATTTACAATTAAAAAAGCATAGCATGCTAAATCTTGATTTTAAAATATATATTTGGATCATGAGCGAAAAATGTGTTAATTTTCCTCATTTTAGAAGAATTTCTATTTTCGCTAATTTTACTTATATTTTCTGCATTTCGCAAAAAAACCTTTATATCTCCATATACTAGATAGCAACCTTAACACTCGTAACACTTACTCGCACCGTGATAACTACACACATATGGCTCTACCTCACTGCACAACACCAAATCACTATTAAGTACTCCAATCTACAACAGCCCTCACATCACTTCACTTTCAAAAGTTTATGCCGAGATCGCGACGTAACTTTACGAAGATCGAAATCAACCATCCCTCCCGACGCACGGCGGTTCACTGACGCAATCTCTAGGTTTCGGAGCGATATCGAAGTCCGACGAGTTTGAAAGTATTTCCCACATCCAAAGTGAAAAACCCTTAACTAAGATTTACCAACAATTTCATATTTCAAGAGCATACTTAGTAAGCTTGCAACAAAAGCATTATTTAATACTAAAAGCCAACAACCAAGTTAGCTTTGCTATCTTGTGATGCTCTGCAACATAATATTATGTTAAAGTCACTCTGCCATATTACGAAGCTATCATTATTTGTTTTTAGTCATCATCTTGAAGGTTATTATTTTAATAGCTATTTTAAGAATTTGCTGTATCGCTATATAAATGTTCAAGTTTATACTATAAAAACAAATAGGTATTACGATTGCGTGCTATCGTACTTCTATTCCATTGTTTTGTGAATAATAATGATATCAGACGTGATAACTCAGAAAATGCTTCATCAATCTTTGTCTTTATTAGTCTTTTGCTCCTCACATGGGGGTGTGACATATCGATGTGAAGTGTAGAAAGCTACAGCTTACACATCGGACTCACTATTCGACATAATATAACTTTTTAAGACATTACGTCAAGTGTCATTTTCTGTTCCCCCACCTCAACACAAATCGTTCATTCGTCTTTTACAGGCAACTTCGCTCGCACTTTTCATGCGGACTCCAGACGCCTGTGTGATTCACGGCCAGTGTTGCCACCTTGCAGAAAACTTTTTCACTAGTTTTGGTCTGAAATTTCACCAGATTTAACGATATTTTTAACTAAAAAAATCCCCAGAATTCAATGAATCATTTAAAATTAAATCACAGGGTAAATCAAAAAATAATATTTTAATTGTGAATACAATGAATGTAAATAAACATGACAATACTAAAAATCAACTTCAAATACTTCTTCATCTTGATCGATTATTATTGCAGATGTAGACGGCTGAGATGGAACATCAGTTTTGTCAGATTTTTTTTGATTTAATACTTTTTTTGATTTAATATTTAGAATTGCTTCCAATAGCAGTAATTATATCATCCGGGAGCTCGTAACTGTAACAGTTCTTCTTCATTATTTTTAACTAATTTCTTATAAAAAGAATGCTATTTAGGGTGTTTACAGCTATTTTGTTTCTTAATTTGTTTTCACGATGTTCATAGCACTAAATACCCTTTCTACCTCAACATTTGAGTTAGGAAGTGACAATGCGGATATAGCGTGATCAGATAACTCTTGAAAGGTATTTATTCCAGCAGCATTCGTATATTTTCGCACTTCAGCCCAGAAATCAAGGACGTTATGTGTAGCATTCCATTTAACATAATTTATACCATGCCACTGCTGTAACAGTTTGTCTATTGCTTCATCATTGAATCCGAGTTCCGCGGCAAGGTCTGCCATATTGTTGTCTTTGCCCTGGAAAAGAGTATTTTCCACACTCAGTTGACACATTTTCTCCAAAATAATGTAGTTAGAAGAAAGTCTTTGCTGAATCTGTTTTCCTAATTTGACTGTAAAATCAATACAATGTTTCCTGGCTGCATTAATGACATTATTGGGTAAAGTGGTCTTTTGTACTTGTGATTCAAAAAGATATCCTAAATACGGTACCGGATTCAAGTGGGCTTCTATTTGAATGGACAAATAATCTTTTTAAGTCATCATCAGCACTCTATTGCAAATAGAGCGAAGCAATGTCATTAACGTGTTCAGTAGGGCAACTGGATTTGAGTCTTCACTATCAAAACTCTTTACTCCAATTTGGACATCATTCAAGATGCTCCTTAAAAACCACATATAAAGGCGATTCCTCTCATAGTCATACATCGAATGAAGCAATTGTGCTGTGTAGCAATTATCTTTGTTCAAAAAGAAATGCAATTTGAGTCCTTCCCATTGAGACAATATTCTGGTTACAGTTTCTTCAATGGACATCCAACGAGTATCACAAGGCCGCAATAATTTTAAAGGCTGATCGCCACAATTTATTGTCTCATATATATCTTTGTACTCATCACAGCGTTTGGGTGAATGTGAGAACCAATTATAGGTTTCTCTAATGAGAAACTCTATATGTCGCGGTAACGTTTGCTCTGATGCATGTGACACCGCCAATTGCAATGAGTGGCAAACACATCTGACTAGAATTAAATTAGGTACGCCATATTCCGTTTTTAAAATATTATGCACGCCATTATTGACTCCAGTCATGACAGAGGCATTATCCACTCCAATTCCAATTAAGTTTTTTAATAGAATATCATGAGCCTGTAAACAATTTACCAAGGCATTAACAATTCCACGAGCATCCGCGCTCCTCAGTGGTTCTAATGCTAGAAATGCAGATACAACTTTATTTTGCGTGCAACTGAAATATCTAATTACTATCCCCAATAATTTCGATACACTGAGGTCAGTGGATTCATCTAATAGTGCACTATACTTTTGTGATCCAATATCATCCAATAGCATCTGTTTGAAGTGAGGAGCTAACATATTCTTTATTACGTATTACTGATTATAAACTGATTTATTACATCATTTCAAATCAGTTTATAATCAGTAATACATTTTTTAAAGCTTCAGTTAAGTGGTCAATTTGCTGTATCGATGTGTGTTCTACAATGAACAGGGACAATGTTCCTTCAACTTTTAACGTGTTTTTATTATTTTTAGAAGCGGGCAGAAATTCAATTTGTCGGTTTTTAGACACTATGTCAGATTTATCTAAATGGTTTTTTGTTGCTCTGTGTTTCTTAATGTCGTCATTTCTTGAAAACATTTCACAATGACAAAAAGTACAAAAGGCTTTTGTAGGATCGTTTGCTACAGGCCGTAACCAAATCTTGAACTCTTCGTGGGTTTCCCATTCTTTCCGATATTTTTGAGAATTAAAAGTCTTTTTTTTCAGTGGCATGTCCATGATCACGCGAAATAAATACTACACAAAAAACTCACACAAAAAGTTTAAATCTTGACTTGAATGATTTCGATAAGAATTGTCTCCTACTTTCACGAACGAAAACTAGCAACTAACTAAATACAAGCAATAGTATGCAGCACTCACTCATATAAACTTAACATAATTGTTAGGTTTG